ATAGGAATCGACCTTTTTGCGACCTCAGACATACGACGACGCAAGAATACCCTCACACACGTTGTGAGACTAGATCACCACGAGTGCGGGAGCCCGAGCATTGTAAGCTCCTAGCCTCTCCTTCCAACATCGCTCTGGATGTAGTATTTGCATGAATATTGACAAGCATCGCATTCTTGGTTGAGCTGGCATCGTTTCAGTGGCCAAGGACAGGTCTGTCTAGAATTATGAAGGCTCAAAGCGCCATGTATTGGCTCGCGTTGAATATCTAGCTGATTTATGTTGGAATAAAACAGCAATTGTTGGCGAGTTTCAAAACAAATACTTGCAGGCCTTTGATAGCCACGTGCGTCGACATACAACCTCTCTCGAGCTAGAGAAAGCGTCCCTGAAAGTATCACAGCGATTTGAGAAGGTTGCAAAAGTTTCGATTTGGGATCGACAAACCTCACGCCCGCCGGTGGTCATGGCCAAAATGTAGAAAATGTTGGAGAATGCTGGGATTATTTTCAACGGCCCACTACAAGTCGCTAGTGATGGAGAGAGGTTGAACGTGCTGATTTGCGGCATCCCTGGTCACTGGATGATTTTTCAATGAATTGATTTGAATAAAATGGCATTTTCGATACTACGCTCTATGCGCGGAGCCACAACGATGTGATCATTTCAGTGGCCAAGGACAAGTCTGTCTAGAATTATGAAGGCTCAAAGCGCCATGCATGGCGGACTCCCGCCAACACGCGCGGCCGCGTCAAGAACGTGCACAGCACTGGTCGCGCGTTGCGTTGCACAACCCGCCGACCGACGTCGATGATCTCGCAGCAGAGATCCTGCGCCGCCTCGTCGTACTCACGGCCAGCCTCGGTGGCAGCGATGGGACGTCGCTCGAGGATTGCAAGACCATCTTTTTGCCAAGCGGCAGGCCATGAGGTCCACCCAACTCAATACTGCATGATGGTGCTATCAGCGTGGTTGGTCGATGGTCGTCTATTTTAGGCTTTTGAAATTCCCTTGGGTAGTACAAGGATATCCTGACGCGAAATATGCGCGTGGTGACGACGGCGCACACGAGACCTAGCTATGGACAAAGGATTCTTTAGTGCATTATCTTTGCGCTTGGGGCAATACGATAGTGTGTGAAGCTTATGCTGATGCATCGTGATTGCTAGTTGAAAACTAATCCAACCCCCGTGAGCACGCCCACTGGGCGGGCTTCAATTTATGCTGTCCCCTCGGGGATCCCACTCAGTTCCGTACACTTATAATACTTTGCTGTGGCGTATTTGCTGTGGAAAGTTGGCAGTCGGATCGATAGTGAGGCCACCGAAAGCAAGCATGAGGTGTTTCGAATCCGCATGTGAAGTTCGCGAACTTGGTCACACTCTATCGTATCCGGACACTAACCGAACAATCCGAGATACGAGGCAGTTGCAGTGGGTTGTTCAACGCGCTCTACTGGATCAAGGTCGCTGGTGATGCTACAGTCTCTGCCAAGAGGAGCTTGTTCGTCATGACCATCAAGACAGAGAAGTGTAGTAGAGAATGGGCGCTTGGATCGCTTACCACGCCAATGTCATGAACTCCATCCCGGCGACCGGCGCCGCATGCCAGCTTGCGCGCGAGCTTAGGACACGCCATCAGCATGATAGCTGCAGCTTTAAAACATCTTATTATACTAGGAGTGCCCAGGCGGGGGCGATACGCGTGCTGATACGTTCATCGATTCGCTCGCTTTTGCAGCAGGACGCCAGGCGTACGGCGAGACGAAAGCTGCGTTCCAAAGGCGCGAATGGCTGCGTAAAGCTCTGCGTGCGCGACCAGTCCTCTGCGCGCAGCTACCACAAGACCACAGACGCCACGCGGAGCTGACGCTGACGTCACCACGTCGGTGACACTTCCGAAACTGTTTAAAACGATCGAGGCCTGCGATGTTGGAAACCTCTGGACGTGCCACGTCATGACGCCCTGCCCCAAGGACAGAGTAGTACTTAGTACACTGTACGAGTATCCAGTGGGAGCTCAATCAACGAAGTGAACGTGCGTACAGTACACAATCCAGCACCCGACGAGAGCAGAGTCCTTTCGACGCAGCAACCATTTTCAAGTCTTCGAGCGAGAGAGACACGCACACGTTCGCTCCGTCCGTTGGTGCTTCTGGCGCCACAAGACAGGCAACTCCTTCTGCATGGTACTAGTACTCTGGTTGCTTCGGACCAGCCAAAATTTCCGCCACAATCCCCCGAAGCAAAGTGATCGGCCTTCGTTCTTGGACTTCATTGGCAATTGCACTTCAGTCCATATCAGACCATCGAAGGATGCGCGCATCGACTACGAGACATGGTCGACGCGGCGCCTCCTATATTTGCACAAAGCCACGACGCCCAAACGAGCCAAAGAGATTCGTCCGCGTGTTCGGGTGCGGGACCTCGATGGTGCCAATGCGTATTGATAACCGCCACTTGCATCGATGAGCGGCCGCGTCGTCATTGCGCCAAGTACACTGTATCCGGATAGGCGAGTAGCCGCGCCAGTCAGTCGGCCGCAATCCCCGCGCACTTCCTCAACGAACGAGGCGTGGCGGCTGAATTCGCAGTCACTACAATGGTCTTCCTCAAGTTGATATACTACACGGTATCCAGAGACTGTCGATCCTCTTCCTCACCACCAAGTCCTGGCAGATTGGCGAGGAGGTCGATTGGATGGCCCACGCGCCGTGCAGAGAGACACAGACGTCGCGCTTCCGCAATGCCACCTGCGCCCTTTTCGCACGCGTTTCTACGGTCTGCAGCGATCTAGCGACACCGACCGTGGCGGGTCGCCGAGATTCGCACATGTCGCAGACGAAAACAGCTGGCGCCCCGGGATCGATCCTCCCGTGCCCCGGGGCATTGGGATGATGGGCGGCGCTGCGTCCGTCGATCCATGCCAACGATGTCAGCGATGGGCGATTGGTCTGTGGGGCGTCCACGGTCTACACGAGGTATACTAGTCATGGCCAGGAAAATGCGATTTTGTGGGTCATGGGTGCTTCTCATTCGGCGCACCCGTTTGGCCTGTCCCACTGGGTGCCACCCTCGACGCGCCACCACCGCATCGTACTGTACTCAGAACGCCTTTGGTTTCATTGACGCCCCTTTGCTCATTTCCTCTTTTGCCTCCGCCTACGACAAGAGAATGGCTGAACACGCGCCGCTGACGGTTGACAAGTCCAAGTACGAGTCCATCGCGACGCTCGAAGACGGCACGCTGCCCGACAACCGGTCGTGGTACGAGACGCACTACCAGCTCCGCCACGAGTGCCTCGCCGAGCTCCTCGGCACGTTTGTGCTCATGGCCTTCATCAACGGCGTCATCGCGCAGGTCAAGCTCGGCGACGGCGCGTTCGGCGACTGGACGCAGATCTGCATCGGGTGCGGCCTCGGCGTGACCTTTGGCATCCACGCGTCCGGCGGCATCTCGGGCGGCCACATCAACCCCGCGGTCTCGTTCGCCTTGTGCGTGCACGGGCTCATGCCGTGGCGCAAGCTGCCGTTCTACATCGTCTCGCAGATGGTCGGCGCCTTCCTCGGCGCTCTCTTCGTGTACGTCATCTACCTCCCGTCGCTCGACTTCCACGACGCCAACCGCACGTGGAACAAGACGGGCGGTATCTTTGCGACCTACCCGCAGTCGTACGAGCACCACCTGAGCGCGTTCGTCACCGAGATGCTCGGCACGGCCATGCTCCTCCTCACCATCATGAGCGTCGAGGACCCGCGCAACATGCCGACGTCGCCCGTCCTCAAGCCCATTACAGTGGGCGCGGCCATCACGGCCATTGGCTTCAGCTTCGGCATGCCCACCGGCTTTGCGCTCAACCCGGCCCGCGACTTTGCCCCGCGCCTCTTCACGTACCTTGCCGGCTGGGGCCCCGAGGTCTTTACGGGCGCCAACTACTACTTCTGGATCCCGCTCATCGCGCCGTTGGTCGGCGGCGCCCTCGGTGCCGGCTGCTACAAGGTCGTCATCATCAACTACCACCGCAAGATCGACGCCAAGACGGTCGCCTAAGTTGTTAGTTAGTTGCTTTTTGAAAATCCAGAGTCGGTTTGTCTCTTTTGATTCTAGTCGCATGCGCTTGTCGGGGTAGCAGGCGTCGGCGCAGCTTGTCGTGGCGATGTCTGTCATGTTGCGAGCGTCCTCTGCTGCTCGCGTGGCACGAGATTTACGTCCGAGGAGCGAAACGTCCAGAACGCTTTTCCAGCGTCGCGCGCGCAGTAGTGTGTCTGGCAACAGATCCGCCGACGTTATCTCTGGTCAAGGGTACATCAGCTCATATACCCTTGCTCACGTGTATAACAACTATTGCAACGCGCATTATTTAGTAAAAGATACGAGCCGACGTTATCGCCATGACCAGAAGACTTAGCAGTAGGCGCGATGCACTGGACGACCGCTGGAGGGACGTGATGGAGCCTGCGACTTGGATCGTGACTTGCTGGCAGTCGCCCGAGAAGGCGATGAGGCTCGACACTTTCATGTCGGGTGTAATGAGGCCGCCGCACCCGGACGACGCCGTCGCGACCGTGAGCGTCAGCGTCTGGTCCGACGCAGTGTACTGGCCCGTCGTCGCGCACGTCGTGGTTGAAATCGACACGGTTTGCGAGAACGTTCCGGCGCTCGTGAGCTCGAGGCTGAAGCCGGTGGCTTTGTAGACGCCGGGGAGCGGGCACGTCGCGAGCGCGCGCGTCGGCGGCGCCCACTGTAGTCCCCACGACAAGGTACAATTTGCGGGACGTTGGCAGGCCAAAACCACCGTGTGGTCGCCCGTGCGCGTCACAGCGTCGACTGAGACGCCCGCAGCGTCAAACAAGAGCACCTCGAATGCGTCGCCTGCGTCGGACCATACCATTGGCTCGCCGAGGCGTGTCGGCGTCAAGTGCATCCCAGGCGCCACGAAGGGGCACGTGAGCGATACGTTGCTGGTCACGTGGCGCGCTGTGGCCTCCCATGAGCAGGCGCCCACAGACACGAGGAGAACGCTCAAGACAAGGCCGAGACGGTGCAGCATTGCGTGCGCGACTGAAAGTCCAATCAGATTATCCGAGTAGGCCCGCGCGATTGCCGTTGGGACGCCATCTTGACCCTGCGAGCGTTTCAGCGCCGCTTCCAAAGACGGCCAACAAAGACACGTGTCGTCTCGACCCATTGATGAAAAAGGTAGAGAGACCGAGTCCTTGGCAGTACGTTGCTAGAGCCCAAAGCCGCGACACACCAATACAAGTATGAACAAACACACCAAATCTACAGCCTTCATGAAGAAGACTAGATAGAGATGACAAGTAGGCGAGGCTTTTTTGATTGGTGGAGCCGGCGTCATGCGCCATGGTGGCATCAAAGTATCTACACCTGCGGCTCTGCAACGGCCAATCGAAATACCCGAGTCGGTTATCTGTAGACCGTAAACATGTGTTTTGGATGCTCCATCTCGATTACTCAAGAATTAGGTCGACCACTGGTGGTTGGCGCAGCACGGGCGCCAGTGGCGGATGCAGTCGCCGCAAAGTCTTTCGGGCTCGACGGCGTCAGGCGACGCGCCCCGAAGGGCGGCCTTCTCTTCGTTGGTGTTGGCACCGGCAACCGTGACGGCGAGGACGGCGGCAATCGCGAGGAGGAAGCGGGAGGCTTGCATGTTGGAAGGAAATTGAGTTGTGAGAGATCAACGTGAACGCTTTTGCGCTCAGATGACCACGTCTCTTTCTGGTACGATCGACGATCCTCCTGCATCTGAGAACAGATCCAAATCAGACTCTCGAACGAACGAAAGGGGTAGAAATGGCCCCCTTCTCGACATTTCTACTCAATCTTGACATGACACCAGATCATGTACTACAATTGTACTGGTTTGAAATACGAGGGGGAGCATTGCCTCTTGTCCTATCTGCCGCAGCTGAGGTGACCATCAGTGGCTTATATCCATGTTCACTTTTCGTACGTTCATGTTGATCTTATTTCTAGGAATAAGTTTCTAGAAATGAGATTTCGTGGCTGAATCAGATGAGTCCACCACATGTGGTTTGTGTCCATATACGAGGCCCAGATCGGAACCCATCACAACGTCGTCAAAGCTGTAAATCGCACCTTCGCGTCGCTCATCGCAGTAGAAACAGCGCTTGCAATGGTGCAAGAGCGACAAGCCCCCGCTTCGCACGTAGCACAATGCGATGGCGCGCCGCATGCAGTCGGCTTGACCAAGAGCTCGACGACAGTATTGGATGCCAGGATGCATGTTGTGTGTGGATCAAAGGCTAAGCCATGTCCAACCAATGCAAGCTGCGATCAGCTGGAGATGCCGTGTGAAGATACATGTTGTAAGGGCTTCTGTATTGCATACTAGTCGTAGGATTAGTATATCCTTCTATCCTTCCATTCCGGTAGTGATCCTCTATAGATAGTCACATCCGGTAGACATGGGGATAGCTCCTGTAGCTTGTAGCTCACTTCATCTTTTGCCTCTGTGGTGTAAGCCCAATACAACTGCCTGCTTCACGGGAGACGGCTCTCCCCTCGCTGTTGTTTGTGTCTGCACCGCGGGCGCTATCACATGCAGAATAACGTTAACGTTGGGATTTCACAACGCCAACTGCTTGCATTCTAGTATGGAAATGCGCTAGTACACGCCCCTGCCCAGGAGCCTACTCGTTCTTTTCGAGTGACTATCCATCGATCTATCCATCTATCCACCTACTAGAAGTCCACACTTTGTTGTCCTGCGAACGAGGCTTTGGCTTTGGACCCTCAAAATGCATTTTACTGGTCTGCACCTCCAGAAGATGATATTTGATCCAGGATCGTGGCACCCAGGTTCGTTTCGGACCCCGAATTTTAGCCAATCAAAGGCGCCGCTTCGCTGACTGCATGTACTGGCATTGCGATCTGCCTGCAGGGGCCCATGTGGCTGGCAGCCGTCGTGACGTTTGTCGCTTGCTGCTGCCTTCAAGCGCTCTTCTCGTCCAGCCAGCGCGTCCGACCGGTACCAGTAGCTCATGGCGTCTCTGGGCCAATATCGCCGGCCCTCGTGACGCACCGGAAGCTGCGAGTCGTCACGACTCCACGACGCATGGCCCAACATCTGGCCGTCGTCTTGGAGGCGCCCGAGCTCGTGCTCAAGATCGCCGAGTTCGTCCGATGCCCGTTTTCGCTATCGGCGCTCCTGCATATGGTACCTTCGACTACGCTCTCAGCGCCGTTCCAGACGTACCTTGCACTGCAAGCAACGACGCCGCCGACGCATCTGTGGCCACACGTCCACGCACACGTGCTGCTCGCGGCGCCGGGCTTGCAAGCGCGCTTGCTCCAGCTGACGTCGATCGCTCGGGCTTCGTCGGCCGCCGACGTCGCCAAGCTGCCGGCCACGACACCCATCATGGCGGATGCGTACACGACAATCACGACCGCGGCGTCGTGGAGCGGCCATCGCCTCGTCGCCTGCGCGCTCGCGCTCACGAGCGCCGACTCGGAAGTTGACATGCTGCGCGTCGCCACGTGGCTCGAGACGGCCCCGCAGCTGCGCTCGCTCTCGCTGCGCATCTCATCGGTCAACTTTGCCCGCGACGGCTGCCGCGCCTTTGTCGACGCGCTCTGTGGGTCCCGCTCCCTTGAGGAGCTTGCCCTACACAACGACGGCGGCGACGCGCGGTACACGGCGGCGTTTGTCACGGCGCTGCAGTCGCTTCTGGCGACGCCGCAGCTGGTGCGCGTGCGGCTCACAAGCCTCGGGTTTCCCCAGCGGGCGACCGAGACCGCGCTCTCGACGGCGCTACGCAAGTGCGTTTCGCTCCGAGCGCTCGAGCTCCATAGTATGCTCGGCTTTGCAACGACGTTCTGGGAGGAGCCGCTGCCACGTACATTGCGCCACCTCGTGCTCCACTCTAGCTCGCTCTTACGCCACGCCGCGTACACGGACCAGCTCATCGCAGCGCTGGCGCATGCGCAACTGACGCACTTTACGCTCGACCGCAAGCACCCGATGTCACCCGAGCACGACACGAAGATGGCGCAGGTGCTGCGCGTGCTGCCGACGTTGCCGCACCTCTCGCACGTAAGCTTGACGTTCTTGAGCCTCGGGCCCGACTCGGCCGCAGCGCTGACGACCGTGCTGCCGCAGATTCGCGAGCTCGAGGCGCTGCAACTCAAGAGCATTGCGTGGGGCGGCGGCCGAAGCACTCTTGAGCGGCTCCTCGTCGACGTGGCGCCGCGCTGCCGCCGACTGCACCGCGTCGCCCTGCGGAACGTCTCGGTGACGTGCCCGGCCATGTGGCAGCGCTGGGCCTCGTTGCGCTACTTGTGTCTTCGCGGCAGCGACGGCCCGGGTCCCGACGGCAGCATTCGCGTCTGCTGCGCCAAGGGCGAGAAAGGCAGGTGTATTTTTGCGGACGACGACCTGCAGCCCTGGGACGGGTCGGTGGACGACACTCTCTAAGTTCTAGTTGATTCCTATAGTTTTGTAACAATTCAAACAGACATCTTGTCTGGCATACATCGAGTTCACTTGCATCGAGTTGGTCCCTGGCGCCGCGACAGCTCGACAGAGCCGGCTTGGCTAGCCAGTTACTTAAGATAATCAACTACGCATGATAAAACCGACTATATTCGCGAAGCTGACTGGCTTTTGTAAACCGACGACATTTTGCTACCGATTATGCTCTGTCAACCTGTTTCCGATTTGTTCAACCGAAAATGACATCTAACCGATTAGTATACAAAACCGATTGCATTCAACATAACCAACGACGTATTCTGCAGCCAGCAACGTAAACCAGCTAGTAGCCGGTTCGGTTAACCGGTTTTCAGAGCCGCGCATACCCGCAGCAAAAACTTGCTTTTGGGACTCTGTTTTGGCACATACCCACCCATCGACGAAAACTCTTATTGTTATATGTGTGAGTGAAGCTTGGAGTGGAGTGTTAATGCCGCTCACAATAGAGTATCGCTCGCTTGACAGCTACGAGTCTACTCAGCTACCTTAGCGCTCGACAATAATGGCAGTGGCGTCAGGAGTGATCTGCGAACAACGCTATTTGAATTGACTGAGCACGTCTGCGACGCCCGATCCGAAGGAGCAGCTCGGGGCACAGACGTGGCGTGGCCAAGTGTGTCTTTGGCGCGACGCTAATCAAACGCAAGATACGGGACCATACAAACATCAAGTACACCATGATTCGAGTATTCACCAATCGCAGGTCTCGGAGCACGCCATTGGCCAAAACCCCCAGATTCAGCAAAACCGAGCGATGTCGCTGGCGGTCGTCCTCGCGCTGCCGGACCTCGTTGAGGCCATCATTGGCTTCGTCCCGTGCCCGTACGCTGCGCACGCCTTCCTCCAGCTCCTACCTGTCGACGGACTTTCCAGCGGCCTCCAAAGCTACCTCGCCCTCGCGCGTCACCTCCCGCCCAGCCAGCTCTGGCCGCGCATGCAGGCCTCGTCGCTCGCACGCGCCAACCTCACGGCCTTAGCCTACGCGTCACTTCCCGAGATTGGCGTGCTCGACATTGATACGTGGCGGTCGCCGCTGCTGCCATGGCTGTGCACGTACCCGACGCTGCCATTCGCCGTTTCAGCGCCGGCCTCGATGCAGAGCGCTGCGTCCTGGCACGGCCACCGCCTTCTCGCCTGCGCACTCACGCTGCAGTCGTTCGACACGATCGACCAGTTCGAGAGCGTTGCGTCGTGGCTCAGAGCCGCGCCCGCGCTACAGCACCTCCAGCTGCGCCACGAAGCCGACGTGACCAACGCCGACGGGCTCACTTGCTTGCTGGCCGCCGTCGCCACTTCGCGCATCGTGGAGCTGGACGTCGCCAACGACACGGACGATCACTTTAGCGAAGCGCTCTACACGTGGCTAGGAACGTGGTTGCGAAATAGTGTGCGGCCGCGTGCGTTGCGGCTCACCGCGCTGCACGTCCCGGACGCCGAGATGGTGTCGAAGCTCGTGTCGGCGTTGCGCGCGTGCAGCACTCTGCGGGAGCTCAGCTTGGCCTTTATGGACGATGTCGCGACCGCGCTTTTCCAGGCGCCGCTGCCTCGCACGCTCCGGCGCCTCAGCCTCAACATCTCGCGCATTCGAACGGGCGACGACTTTGTGCAGGCTATTCGCGGCAGCCACCTCACACACGTAGCGCTCGTGAACCGGACGCGGCAATTGGGGCCGACGTACGACAAGACGATGGCCAAGGTGCTGTACGGCCTTGGTACCCTCCCGCGAGTGCGAAGCATCGAGCTCACGTACATCAGCATGGGCGCGCGGTCCAAAGCCGCGCTGGCTGCGGCGTTGGTAGCGATCGCGCCAACGCTGGAAACGCTCTCGCTCACGTGCTTTGGCTCGACGCCGCACTACCTCCCCGGCTGGCTTGCGCCTGTGCTGCTGCAGTGCACGGCCCTGCACCGCCTCGCGCTGCGCAACGTCTATTGGTCGGCGGCCGACGTCTGCGACTGGCCCCTCTCGCCGTCGCTTCGGTTCGTGTGCGTCCGCGGTAGCAAGTTGGAGTGCGACGGCCAGGCGCTAGCGAGCAAGGTCGAATTGTGCTGCCTCGACGACGTCGTCGCTTGCCACTTGGGGGACCCCGACCGCAGCGTCCATGGCGTCCACGGCGACGGCGGCGGCCACTATGACTGTTTGTAGTAGCGTGGATGTATATGGTCGTGTAATTTAAGCAGGTAAGGAAACGAGTTTTTTGGCTGGATTTGGGTGACGCCATTCCAAGGGCACCTGGTGCCTTAGGCGCCCAAATCGGAGTGCTGGTCATTTGTCCCAATGTCCCCCTTGGACGACGGTGGTTTGCCCCATTTCTCGATTGCAATGAGCGGCCCAACGAAGCGAGCCAAGACGAAGCGCGGGGGCGCGGCGCCGCCGGCCAAGCGCGCCAAGGCGACGATCGCGCCGATGGAGACGCTGGGTCGAGACGTGCTCCTCCAGCTGACGACCTACATGGAGCCCAAGGAAGCCCTGCGGCTCTCGATGACGAGCATGCTCATGCACGACGCGATGGACGACAGCGTGTGGCGGCCCATGCTCTTGGGCACGTGCGAGGTCAAGCCGTCGCTGCTGAAGCCCCGCACGCAGATGCGCAAGATGGTCGTCAACCTCGCACAGAAGAAGAGCTGCGTCCTCTGCGACCGCTTTGAGCCCGAAGGGTGCCACACGATCAAGGTCTACACGGTGCATCGCGGCAAGAAGCTCTGCGACCGCTGCGTGCAACTCCCGATGTTCACCGAGATCGGACACATGGAGGTAATGCGCAAGTACAAGCTCAAGCACAAGGAGCTGCGCGAGCTGCCCTGCCGACTCGTCGCGACGACCTTTGACATTTCTCGGGGCGAGGGCTTCAAGACCAAGATGTACAACCATCAGGCCGTCCTGGACCTCGTCGCGCGAGTGCGCCCGTAGCCGACGACGCTCATTTCCATGTTCCCAGTCGTCTGCATGTTGCGTGTAAGGGAGACAACATGAGTGCTTCATGTGCGATTACGAGGAGTGATCGCCATGCGATCTTGAAAGACAGGCGACATCATCTCGCTACGAGCTATTTGCATGAGACAAACCATACTCTAGGTAGCGGAATCACACGGAAACCGACGCACCGGCGAGATCACTCTTTTGTTTGGTGTCCCGATCTGTCCCGACAATGGCATTGTCTGCACATGTGATGACCCAATTCTATCCAATTCTATCCAATTCTATCCAATTCTATCCAAACCTATCCCACCGGTATCCCATGGATTCAATATCAATGATTCAATTGGTCGCATGTCGATCTCGAGCTCCGGTCCAAAGGTTTGCTTGAATGGCTTTGGGTTGTCAAGCGACACAAGATCCGATCGTGAGTGACGGTCGTCCCGGCTGTTGATGGTCCCCGAATGCACCAGGCGACCTTTTTCTTATTTTCCGATCGCAATGGTCGGCCGCATGAAGCGCAGCGCCTCTGTGCGATCGAGCCAACGAGAAAAGCGCGCCAAAGTGGTAGCCAGGACGACCATCGAAGCGCTGGGACCAAATGGTTTTTCCCACCTCGCTGCGTTCCTCGAGCCCATCGAGGCGCTACGGCTCTCGAGTACGAGCCGGACGGTGCACGAGGCCATGGACGACGTCGTGTGGCGCACCATGCTACTGGACCAGTGCCATGTCAAGCCATCGCTGCTCAAGCCGCGCACGCAGACGCGCCAGATGGTCGCAACGCTCTCACACAAGAAGAGTTGTGCCCACTGCGACCGCTTTATGGCCGATGGGTGCAGAGCGATCAAGGTCCACACGGAGCACCGCGGCAAGAAGCTCTGCTCCTCGTGTTTTGAGCTTCCGATGTTCAAGGAGATGAGCCACATGGACGCCGTCGCCGAGTACAAGTTTACATACGTCGAGCTGCGCGAGCTACGGTACCGGTTCGTGACGACCGGGGACTATGAAATGGGCGAGCTCTACAGGAAGAAAATGTACAACCTCCAAGCTGTCCTCGACGTCGCGGCCAGAATGCAATCGTATTCAGCAATGTAAGAGGAGAGAAACCGAGTACAAGATCGTGCAGATACAAGGCTTGGTGTTCGATGGCTACCCCAAACATCGCAATCTTCTCGTACGACATGGATGACAAAACGCTCGGTTGCTGTTCCAACAAACACAGTCTTGCTGCTACTGCTTTGAATTGGCAAAGACGAGTCGATTGTGATGGTCGGCGGTTCCACGTGCCTGTTTGCGGAACCTCTGGGCTAGCCGACCTTTTAGTCTAGCGCTTTAGACACAAGTCGTCACCGGCGACACTGCAACGCGCCACCAATGACGCAGTCCTCGTCGACTGTCTGTCCATGGGAAGATAACACTGGCTGCAGTTGAGCGTCGCCGAGCTGGTATCCGAGCATCTCAGTAAAAACCTATGCAAAAACCGCATATATTAACGGCGTCGGTGGGGCGCTCGCAGTCGACGCCGACCTTCAGCGTCCACAAGCAACGCGAAAGCGAAAGCGATAGCGCGTGGACTCGGGTTTGAGTTTTATTGAGCAGGTCACGACGACCCACAGCAAGGATCGAGAGCAAGGGAAGAGTCACTGAAAAGGTATATGTTTTCACTCTTCAGGCCTTCCCAATCTCTGTACGATGATGAGTCTGCGCTGATGAGTCATCCTTTTGCTCTGCAACTGGATTGTGAATGATGGTCGCGTGCATTACTTACACGCCCCAATGACGGTTCTTTTTGACCATTTCAATTCAGCAACATTCTCCAATTGCAATGGTCGCGCGCACCAAGCGCCGCACGACTGCTCCGCCGGCGAAGCGCGCCAAGGTCGCTGCGGTCGCATCGATCGAAGCGCTCAGTCAAGACATCTTTCTCCACTTTGCTACGTTTCTCCAGCCCAACGAAGCGCTGCGTCTCGCGAGCTCGAGCCTCGTGTTTGACCGCGCTATGGACGACAACGTGTGGCGCGCCATGCTATTGCACCAGTGCCATGTCCAGCCGTCGCTGCTCAAGCCGCGCACGCAGACGCGCAAGATGGTTATGAACCTCGCGCAGAAGAAGAGTTGCGAGCGCTGCGACCGCTTCATGGCCCACGGGTGTCGTATTATCAAGGTCCACACGAAGCACCGCGGCAAGAGGCTCTGCGATCACTGCTTTGAGCTTCCGATGTTCAAGGAAATCAGCCACATGGATGCAATCGCAGAGTACAAGCTCACGCATGAGCAGCTCCGGGGACTGCGGCACCGCCTCGTTACGATGGGGGACTACGATTTAGGCGAGCGCTTCAAGACGATGATGTACAACCTCCAAGCTGTTCTCGACCTTGTGGTCAAGTTGCGCTCATAGTCGAATGCGTCGATGTTTCGACTGAATAGCAGTGGCGTGTAATTAGCTTGTTCAAGTCGCGGCAGATTGCTCGATTGCTGACCAGCGTTTGACAAGGAAAAGTGACGATTGCAAAGCATCAAGTTCGACGAATCAATTTAGAATGCTCTTCCTTATACAGTTCTGGAGAAGGCTTCGGCAGATTCAACGCGTCGGCTCCCGAAGTCACTCGTGACGCGAACCCACAAATATGGATCTCGTCGTCGGAGAAGAAGCACAGCATCTGTTGCACCATAACAGGGAGCTCTAAGTAGGAGCCAAACTACGTCAACCGCTAGTGCTATACGAAAAGAGCTATTAATCGAGGCGAGCAAGTCGTCCAGCTCCCTCTCCTGCTTGGCAGCGCCCGCTTTCACTTTCTCCGGCATGAGCCAGCCAATCGGCGTGTCGCACCACTTTGGATACTAGCACGCAACTTCAAGGCCACAAGTGCAATGCCATCGACGTCGGCGGACATTCTCGAGCTCATCGCGGGCTACGTGTCCTGCCCGTTCACGCTCCTCGCGCTGCTCGAACTGCTGCCTCTGCAAGCGCTCTCGCGGCCCTTCCAGTGCCTGCGCCGACTCGCGGGCACGGTGCCCGTCGCGCGACTTTGGCCCGAGCTCTCGTACGCGGCGGTCGCGGCCGAGGCCGATACGTTCGTCCTCGGCATGGTCTGGCTCAAGCGTGTGCACGTGCTTCGCCTTGACATCTGGCCGCGCCCCGAGCACATCTCGATCCTCTCGCACCTGCCGATGACATTGTCTATCGCCGTGCCGGTACCCATCGAGTTTGCGTCCACCTGGCGCGGCCGCCAGCTCGAAGCCTGCGCGCTCAACGTTCGCCGCGGCGACAAGGAAGCCCACCTCGAGGCAGTTGCTGCCTGGATACAGTCGGCGCCGCAGCTTCGGCGCCTGCGTCTGTCGTTCGACAGCGCAGCTGCAACGCCGGCCACGGAAGCGCTGGTTCGGGCCATTTGTAGTCTCAAGGCGCTCACGTCGCTGCACTTGGACGTGTTTTGGCTCGACACGTGCCCGCCTTTTGTGCTGCAGCAACTCTTGCGCTGGCTTGGCCGGCACCGCGCCATCGACGTCGGGTTCGGCGATCTCCGGGGCTCGACGGCGCTGGCGCGCGCACTCCACGCGTCCCGGTCCGTGCAGTCGGTCACGCTTTCACATACCGAGCACATGACCAGCGTGTACTTGGACGCGCCGCTGCCGACGCATCTGCGACGGCTGACGCTGACGAGTCGACGCCTGCCGTACGCTCGGCGGCTCGCGTCAGCGCTGCTCGGCGCGAGGCTCACGCACCTCGCCCTGCGTCTCGAGGCGGTGCAGGAAACGGACCTCGTCGACGTCATTGCTTCGATCGCGTCGCTGTCGCATCTTGAGAGCCTGCACATCAAGGCGCGTCCGCTGCAGCCTGCGACCGCCGATGTTCTTGCCGCGACAGTGGCCGGCCTCCCGCGCTTGCGTGCGTTCAAGTTTGACTGCTGGCCCGGGTTCCTCGACAGCGTGCTGTATCTGCGCCTGGCGGCGGTCGTGCCGCGCTGCCTAGTGCTGCATAGCCTTGTCCTGCGCGACGTGCGCTGGAGCGCCGAAGGTCTCGGGCGATGGCGTGACGCGCTCGCGACGTCGCCAAACGTTCGTCACCTCTGCGTACGCCGCGGCAAGTTTGCAGCGCACTGGGACGACGCACCAACGAGCGTGTGCTGCCACGTCGTGACGGCGCCGTGTCACCTCGTCGACACCGAGTGGGGTGTCTCGCCCAAGAAGCTCGGGGCACTTGGCTTTCTGTAAACCAACCGCGTGGACGCGGAGAAGCGGGCGCTCGCTTTTACCACATTCTGGCTCTTCCGTCGCAGAGTTGCAGCTTTGCGCATGACGCGACACTTCGCCACGTCGTCGCACGTCGTCTGCAACTGCAGTCCGCCAACCAGTGCGTCGGTGACCATCGTCTCGGCACCTCAGCTCCCGCCGGCAACAACGACGGCCAATACGACCGTGGAGCTCCAGAAGTCCCTCAGCAAAGCGCGCCACCGACTACGCCATAGCGACGCCGCCGGCAGTCTCTGGTTCTTTACGAGCGCGTTCCTCCTCATGCTGCTCGTGGCCTGCGTCATATACGTGCGCCGACGCCTGCGTCGTCCCCACCCACAGTGGGGACACAAACCACTCTAACTATAAGTCTGACTACGATCGACTGAATGACTATGCATTATCCATGGAACCCTATCCTACACGATGGATTCAGCCTCGTAGTGTCGTCGCACTGCTGTTGGCGAGCGAAATCGTATCGCGCATCGCCGATGGAGGACCGTCATTGAAGTTTGAAGCCGATGCCGCCGTTGTTGCAGTCGAGTGGACAAAAAAACGAGCCGCCACCTGGGTCAAGCAACGGCAAAACACCACCGCGAGTAGGCCGTAACGACCCAGCCGTCGCCGTCGAGCAACCGAGACCGCGCCGTGTCGTGCTGAGTCAGCGTCGGGCATGGCCGAGTCAAACTGCAAGGTCGATTGGTGTTGACGGACCGTCACCTAGTTGCCTGTGTTCTTGAACGACTCGGAGCATTCGCAAGGTCTAGCCCGCGCGGCACCGTATAGAGCCGACGTCGCAGTTTCGAGCCGACGTTGTTGTGTCGAGTGTTGGATGCCGCGAGCAGTGTGGTATCGTGGTGCGCTGCGTCGACGTTGCATTCAGCGCGACAGAGCAGTCGTAGACCGAGCCACGGTCACGTGTGACTGGTATCATTCTTGATGTTGCTGAATCGTTGTTGAGTCGACGCTCCGAACGCACTATCTGACGCCCCAATCGCCGTCGAGCGAGCCGCGTCGTGCCGTACCATATCGAATCGACTATAGACCTGGCCCCCGCCGAGATGAGGTAGCGTTGATCTGGCCGTCGTCGTAATCGTTGTCAAGTCGCTTCGCGTTGCGTTAGACGACACCACCGTTGCAGTAGTGGAGCAACCGTGAGCCGAGCCGCCGCCATAATTAAGCGGTGTCGGGCCGACCGCCATCAGAATCGTCGCTGAGAGGTGCTGTGCCGCATCGGTGGCGTCTTCGTTGTAGCTTGTCGCAGCGACCGCGCCGTGATTGGCAGAGACGTTGCTGATGCTGCGGATGTCATGCCACCCGTCGCCTTGACTGCCACCGGGCGATATCGAGTCGTGACGCGCCGCTGCCGCAGTTACAGCATCCGCTTGCCGGCAATCGGGAGGACTCGGGTAGGCGGCGTGGACCGAGCTGCCGTCATAGTCATCACCGTACAGCGCCGTGTCGGATCCTCGCCGCAGGCGCCATCAGCCGGACCTTGCATGACGTCAAGCGGTGTCTCGCTGGGTCGTTGCGGCCGACGCCGACGGTGCTTCCACTAACGGACCTTGCCTGAGCTGCCACCGAGACTAGGCGGTGTCGCTTGAACCTTCGTCGTGACCGTGCAGCGCCGCGTTGGGGCAGCGCTACCGCGGCCGTGGTCTGTCGGGAGGTGACTGAGGTGTTCCGTGAGCCAGTGATGTTGATCCCATCGTCGTTGATCCTGCCATTGAGCAGTGCCGTGATGTAACCAGCCATCGTCGCCGTGAGTGATGTTGGGCACTGTCTTTCCGTATCGTTGTGAGCTGACACCGGTAGTGTTACCGCTGAAGGGCATAGCCCGCGCTCCACCGAGACTAGGCGGTATCGTTTGAGCCGTCGCTGTAACTTTAGTCGTAACGCCTCGGCGCCGCTGGATCGGCGCCGCCGACATCATGAACCGTCGGGGTCACTGGATTGCCGGCGTGGACGTCACCCCGCCGTCGGACAGGGATGTGCAGAGCCGCTGTCATCGTCGTTGACGCCGAGCGGCGTTGTCCGAACCGCCGCCTTGAGTAGGCGGTGTCGACTTCACCGTCGCCGCAGTCGCTGTAGCTGTCCCCAAGCAGCGCCGCGCTAATGCTGCGCTGCCGTCGGAACCAAACCTCACGCCCGCCGTAGCGGTGCATGGCCAAAATGTAGAAAATATTGGAAAATGCTGGGATTA